AAAATTAGGGTTTTATCTATTGCAAATTTGATTTGTCATTTTAACTATGAAGATATGATCATGTATTACGGTGTTTGTATGAGTTAATTATGTTCTATTAATATATTTTTATTAATTTCAAGTCTGAATGAATTTACATCTTTCTTGTTACTTTTTGTTGTATCATGAATGCATTTTTAACCAACTTAGATTGCAGCACCTAAATCAAAGTATTTCTATACTATCAGCTATAACCATGATCCATATCATTAGCTACGAGAAGGCATATAATATCAAGAATTGGTTTTTTTTTTTAATTGAGACGGAATGTTTGCAAGTATAACCATGAATAGGAAATGACAAATTTGGAATAGTTAATCAAACTGTGTCGAAACGAAAGTGGAATTTTAAGTAGGTGTAGTCTCGTCCTAAACTTTCTGTCACAAAATCCATCTATTGTAAATTTACTTATGCAAGGATATTTGTCGGAATTATTCCCATTAAAAATCGTTTCTAGATGAGGTGATTTGTAAATGTTTTATCCTTCCTTTTAAGCCATATTATATGAACTATTTCAATACTAGTGTTCTTGTGGTGAGGTTTTGGATTTAATTTCTTGTAAGCAAATTAAAAGACTATTTTATCCTATCTTTATGAGCTTATAAACTCGGTCTAAATTCAGCATAGTTTTCTGATTATTCCATTTTTAAAATTATAGAGTCTTTTACCGAATACTTTAATTAGACTTTTTGATGATTTTGATGTAAAGCAAAGAAGAATCTATTTGAGACTTTATCTACAAGCAAGCTATTTGAACATCTAACTAAACTACGTATACTTGAGTTCGTAGGTATTTTGAACTACAATTGCAATTTAACACGCATTACTACAACGATAAAATTCATTTATTGATTTTTTATATATCTTGTTCCAATATCAGAAGCTTAATAAATCATCACATAGTATGATTTTGTAACAGTTAATACATCCACGTCATGACATGTATTATAGATAGCAAGAGTTTGTTTTTAACATGTAATGATTAAAATATCTATTAAGATTATACTGGATTTTTTTGCGCTAAGTAAAAAATTCATAGGAAAAAGGTATATATATATGTGATATTGATTAATTTTAGAATGATTGTAATGCATGCTATCACCTTTGTAGTTAAATTTGATCAATCATAGTGATTATATAATGATATATGGTGTCGAAATGTGGAAGTAATTAAGGGACAATGATTTCGTTATGCTCTGCAAAGGAACGTTCTTCGTGACTTCCGAGAAATATTTTGTCTGCTGCC